CGCCCCAGGGATTCAAAGGATGCCAGTTTATTATCAGCGCCTGGAATTAGTCAGAACAGCAACTTCTGGAAAGGCCAAGAACTGGAGTTCTTCTTTCCTCCCAAGAGAGAATCTTGAATTGGGCTTGCCTCACCTGCAGTGCTGAACTGTACTGGCATGAGGAAAGGGCTGTCATAGTGGGAATGCACTTATTTTTTTATTTATTTCAATGAGACTGCTCCTGGCTTTGAGCTGGCCTGGGATGCTGTGATTTCCTGACTTATTTCTGGAGTTCACATAAAAGCTCTTTGGACTGCAAATTATTAAGTCCTTGTTTCTGTGGGAAAATAGGTCCAGGATGGGGCTTCCTATTCTTCCTGCTTACAGATATCATTCCTCCATAAGAAGCATCTTTAAAACTGGGATATTTGGGAATCTGGTGTCTTCACTTGAGAAGTTATAATAAATGGGTTTATTGAAAACTCAAAAAAAAAATCAGAAGGGAAGGAAAGAAGAAAGAAAATGTGTTTTCTAATAAATTTAATGTGTAGTAACCAAAGCCAAACATTTTTAATATTGAACTAAAGGCAAAGGGGTTAATTTAATTATGACTCATTATGGCTAACCAACAATAATAGTCAGTAATTCTAAAAATAATTGAAATTTTGCTTAGAGGTAGATCTTGACAGAGAAGAAAAATAAAAATAGTAACTGTGTGACATGATGGATATATGAATTACTTATTGTGATTAGTTCACAATGTACTTATATAAAATCAAGCTGTACATCTGAAATATATTTAATATATACACTGTCAATTATACTTAAGCTGAAAAATATGGCTAATAAAGCAAACTAGTTTATTTCTCTCCTTTCGTAACCCCACTACAATGAATAAAAATTATTTGTTCAGTGTGAAAGGAGTGAAACAAAACATGAAGCACAGGTGCACTTTGATTGTGATACATACCTGTCAGAGTGAAAGTGCGACTCCTGCCCATTGGGGTAAGAGATGCCCATCAGAAGAGCCCACACCCCCAGCAGGCTCTAGAATCTGGGGCACACATTGCTCTGTATACCAGAGAGCAGAGTGGCTGACCACAAAGGTATGTGCCTTTGGAGGGGGAAGGCCTCCAGATCAGGCATAACCAAGAGTCTCTCCCCCAGGACAAGGACACAACTGAGTCTGCACCCAAACAGACAGCTGCAGTCCACGTGCTATAACCCACGTGCTCAGAACCCTCTCAGTAGACTCCACAAGAGGGGTGCCCCCTTCAGGCTGGAGACTGCATGATGGCAACCCACGTAGAGGAGAATCCTGCATATATTAGGGTTATTTGGGGGTCTTCCCATCAGTTAGGCAGGTTTTTGCCTAGACATCTTCAGGGAATCCCATTAAGGTGGGAACAGACTCTATCCACAGAAACAGTGTATTCAAATAATCAGCCAAAGTTCACCAGAACTTTGGAGAAAGGTCAAAATGTGATCACCAGAAATTTGAAGGTCAAAATGTGACAAACAGAGGCAGAGAGGGGAGAGAGAGACAAACAGACACACAGACAGATGAACAGAGAATCCTGTAGGAAATACAATGCATAACGTTAACAACAGTGAAAAAAATTAAAAGAGAAGATATATGGAACAGCTGATGCTATTTTAAAAATGCAAAATAAGAAAGATCTTGGAAATTAAAAGTACAGTAACAAAAATTTTAAAATTCATAGTTGCTGGGTGGGTAGTTGAAGGAAATTTCCAGGAAAGAGGGGAAGAATAAAACAAACAAAAAAACCAGGCAAGAGTATTTGAGAAAAATTAGATAATTGATTCTGAATCCACAATGTTTAACTGATTGAAATCCCAGAGACAGAGAAAAGAAAACCAAGGGAAGAAAAAGCCAAAAGGCAGAACACTAGAAAACTCTGCAGATACACAGATTGCATAAATCAATGAAGGCCCCTGACAGGCATCATGAAGCTTGATGCACAAAGGAGTGAAAGCATCAGCATCAGTATGGCCTTGGGGGGCCTGGGCTGCACAGTCTCAAGCTAGGAGAGGCTAGAGTAATGGCTGAATGTTTTCAGCATTGTCAGAGACAGTCATTTCCATCCTGGGTTGATAGGCTTTTGTACTGATGGGTCAGAGTAATCGAATAAAAACATTTTTAGATTTTCAAGGCCACTAAAATCATCCTCATGTGTATCTTGTCCCTGAAGTAAGGGATCAGAAATGAACAGGAAAAAAAAAGTGAATTTCCAGGAAATTCAGTTAGGAAAAGTTAGAAAACAAATCTGTTATCCAGTTCAGGGAAACAAAAATGGTAGTCTGGAAAGATCTCAACTGGACAAAATTTCTGCTCAAAAATGTTTCTGTTTTACCTTATTGTCGTATCTATTATAGCTATCTATGTATCTATATACAGTACAGTCTCCCCACCTCCCCTGCTTTCGTCCCCCCAATGGCCACCTGGACCCCTACCAAGTCCTATAAGTAATATGATTTTTGCTATAAAACATAACTTTGGTAAAGTTTAGTTTATAAATTAGGCATAGTAAGACATTGATAATTAATTAAAAAAATAGAACAGTTATGATAAGGTTCTGTAATAAAATTGCCACTGTTACTCTTCTTACACTTTGGGACCATTGTTAAGTAAAATAAGGGTTATTTGAACATAAACACTTTAATATATCCACAGTTGATTGAATAAACTAGGTGAATGTAGACTAGTACAACCACTCTGGCAAAAAATTTGGAGGCTACTTAAAAAGCTGGACATCGATCTACCATTTGATCCAGCAATACCACTCTTGGGGATACACCCAAAAGACTATTACTCCAGAGGCACCTGCACACCCATGTTTATTGCAGCACTATTCACAATAGTCAAGTTATGGAAACAGCCAAGATGCCCCACCACTGACGAATGGATTAAGAAAATGTGGTATCTATACACAATGGAATTTTATGCAGCCATGAAGAAGAACGAAATGTTATCATTCGCTGGTAAATGGATGGAATTGGAGAACATCATTCTGAGTGAGGTTAGCCTGGCTCAAAAAACCAAAAATCGTATGTTCTCCCTCATGTGGACATTAGATCAAGGGCAAACACAACAAGGGGATTGGACTATGAGCACATGATAAAAGCGAGAGCACACAAGGGAGGGGTGAGGATAGGTAAGACACCTAAAAAATTAGCTAGCATTTGTTGCCCTTAACGCAGAGAAACTAAAGCAGATACCTTAAAAGCAACTGAGGCCAATAGGAAAAGGGGAACAGGTACTAGAGAAAAGGTTAGATCAAAAAGAATTAACCTAGAAGGTAACACCCACGCACAGGAAATCAATGTGAGTCAATGCCCTGTATAGCTATCCTTATCTCAACCAGCAAAAACCCTTGTTCCTTCCTATTATTGCTTATACTCTCTCTACAACAAAATTAGAAATAAGGGCAAAATAGTTTCTGCTGGGTATTGAGGGGTGGGGAGAGGGAGGGGGCAGAGTGGGTGGTAAGGGAGGGGGTGAGGGCAGGGGGGAGAAATGAACCAAGCCTTGTATGCACATATGAGTAATAAAAGAAAAATGAAAAAAAAAAAAGTCTGATTTGGACCACCATAGACAGGAAAACCCTTAGCAAGCAGTCAAGGTTGCTGTGTGCCTTGAGGATTATCATGATCCATCCCAATAAATGTTCATTTATTGTTCAAAAAATAAAAAAATTTAAAAAAAATAAACTAGGTGAGTACAAAGAGACTGACATGTGGGTAGCACATACAACATGGATATGGTAGATTAAGGGACTGTTCATCCTGGGCTGGATGGAGAAAGGGCAGTGCTAGGTTTCACCTCAAAACAGTTTGAAGTTTCAAAATGGTGTGCAGTTTAAAACTTAGAAATTGTTAATATTCTGTTTAGTAGTTTTGGACTGCAGTTGACCTTAGGTAACTGAAACTATAGAAAGAGAAACTGCTGAAAAGATGGACTGCTAGTGTACAACTACACTGTGAATAATAATTTAATTCTCATGCTATGGGGGAAATGGAGAGGAAAATGTATGTGTGTGAGTATCTCAAAGAACTAAATACTTATCTTCTGGAGTAGCAAGCTGATAGCTAACATGCACAAATCAAGAAACAGAATAATAACCTTATTATTTGGAAAACAGTAAATTCCACAAGGGGAAAAAAAAAGCATTTGAAGTGATTGCTCCTGGAGTGAAGGTGGTAGGCAAGGAATTGTTGGGTTTGTCTCTCGGTTTTGTGGGACTACTAGATTTTAGACCATATCTATATTTTGCTCAAAACGTGTTTATATTATGATACAAAGAAAGAAAAAAACATCACTTTTAAAAGAAAACAATAAAGACTAGAAAAGTATATGCCAACTATGAATAGGTTGCTCTGTGTAAACAAAGTTAATGAAGTAATTGTTTTTTTTTTCCTTTGGCTTAAGGATTGGGATTCAGTGAACTGCTTACCTAGTATGTGCAAGGCCCTGGGTTCCATCCCTGGCACTACAGGGGACAAGAGACCTTCAGCTTATATGTACACTTTAAACGTTTTGCAACAAGTGTGTATTGCTGGTAAATTTAAAAGGATGTTTTACACACACACACACACACACACACACACACACACACACACTTGAAGTGTCACATCCCATCCAGAAGAGGAGGCTGCCTTCTTGGAAATTTAGAGCTGTATACTCAATCCTAGTGCACATGGGTGTAAGCATGAAAAGAGCACACGAATCAGAGGTGTGGTGCCACAGTGGGCCCTTAAAAGTCAGGGAGTGCTTAAATTACAAGTGCTAGACTTGACTTTGAGCAACTTGATGGCAGGCACAGAGGAAAGTCATCATTTTCAGTGATTTGCCCATACTCCACAATGCTTTGCACACAATTGAGTGCTCCTCGTAGCACCTGTGCCACACTGAACTGCTTCTCTACTTTGTATGTCCCATGTGCATATCAGTTCTTATGGAATCATCCTAGCCCTTTTGTCTCCCCCTTTGTGCTTCCTAGGTATCTCTTGGCTCCCAGGTTGATCTGCAGAAGAAGAAGCGACGGGCACCTGCTCCCCCTCCGCCACAGCCACCACCACCAAGTCCCCAGGTCCCCAACCGCCAGGAGGCCAGGGAGGAGAACAGGAAGAGCACAGTGGGTGAGTCTGGCCTGGTCTCTGCATGCCTTGGGGATGCCTGCTGTGTGCAGAATGCTCTTGCAGTGGACTCACCCGAGCAGTCCTTATTAACCCAGAAAACATTTCAGCTCAAGAAGGAGACTCTGGCAATGAGCAGTGGTGAGTTCACTCAGTACCTTAGCAGCAGGATTCTGTGGGTGTTATGTGGATACTGAAGAGGTGGGGATGACAGAAGCCTGGAGAGCAGCTGAAGAAGCTGAGAAGGTGAGAAATGGAGCAAGTGTGACTGTGTGACACATATCTCACTAATGGGAGAAAGATAGGCTCTAAGATGACATCCCTGGAGGCAGTTATGAATGACATCTTAGGTCTCATGTGGTTTATAGAGGTCATGTCTCCCTAAGCTGAAAATCTGAGCTCTTAAAATGCTCCAAAATCTGAAATTTGTTGAGCACTGACAAGATGCCCCAAGTGGGAAATTCTACACTGTGAAACAAAATTATTTAAAATGTTGCATAAATTACTTTGAGGTTCTGCAAAAAGGGGTATATGAAGCATAAATGAAATTTGTATTTAGACTCCAGTCCCATCCCTAAGATACCTCATTATGTTCCCAAATTGGAAAAAGTCTGAAATCTCAAACACATCAGATTTTGAGCATTTCAGTTTAGAGATACTCAGCCCATAAATGAGTTGACATTCATTCCGTAGTTGTGTTGGCTATCCTGTTTGAAACTGATCTCCATCTTATATATTAGGCAAAGTCTCTGGTATATAAAAAAAGAACCCAGAGAAAACAGAATCGAATCCTGATACCTATAAGCAAAAAATGACCTGTGCAATTATTAGACCCCACCTTCTTATGATGCAGGTGAGGTATAGAGATGCTAAGGAATGGAGGTTTCCAGGTCCATTTTATATTAAGATCCTTCACTGTGTGCTATTATTTCATGGACATAGGAACAGAAATAGCTTTTACAGAGCAAGAGTTGAACTTAATATCATGGGATCCACTGACTTCTAAGCCTCATCAAAATACACAGGGTGCATACATGGAAATATAATGAAACCTCACTGAACAGTTGATTTACACTTAATGAAAAGTACATCAGAGCCCTTCCTGAAGCCACCAGACAACCACTTGTTTTGACCTTTATCAGCCCAGGCAGCCCCACATTTTGCCTTTCTTTGACCTTGTGTCCATGGCCCCAGAAGGAAAATACTCCCAAGGCTAAGTGACTGCATTGTTAAGGTCTGAAACTTTTCTTTAATATGGGCAGTGCATCTCACAGCCTGGGAATCAATTATCCTTAGAAGCAGTAACCTATATGCCATGTCAGTTCATCCTCTTTCCCAGCAGGAAATACTATCAGATTTTTTACATATATCAACAGTGGATTGTTCAACTAAACCAAGTTTTCTCCTGTTTCATGATGAGAGCCCTTTCTTCCTTCCTAGCTCCCTCCCTTCTCTTTGGATAGGGGCAAACCCTTCAGATTTAGAAGGTTCCTTGTGGAAATACTCAGAAGGATGCACTTCAAGTGATCATGTGGAAGTGGTTGTGTCAAGCCAACCTCAAGGCCAGACAGCCCATTGCAAGCTAGGACTGAGTCCTCATATCCAGTGGGCTTGGGGTACCTGCCTGACATGGGGACTGCTGGTGCCCACAGGCACCCAAGAAGATGCAGAGTGAGTGTTCTAAAACTGAAAATTATATAGATAATCTCCTCACCTCACTGAAAAACATTACAGAGGAGGTATGAATAGTAGTAATTTGTTACACGTCTTTCTTTCTGGTTCACAAACTACTGTTTGTAAGAACTGAGAAGGCCGGAAGCTTCCCTCCCTTCCTACTGAAATTAATTTTGACTATTTTTGAGGGCAGGGGATGGTGGAGGAGGTCTTAATGGCAATGACAAGTCAGAGTTCCATCCCTCTCAGAAATTTCCATGAAGTAGCAGTCACAAACCATACTCCACAGAACTTATAACCAAAGTCTAGACTTTGGGTTGAAAGAAAAACCAGTAGACCCTATCCCCAAAAAGTGTCGAGGGATTTTTCTATTCAGACATCTAGATCCAAAAAGAGAAGTTTGTTTTGGAACTTGTACTAAAATACTACTGTAGCTACACTGATTTGGGTCTTACTCAAATCTATTGAGAAGCAGAAATAAGCCTTTGAATGAGGAGTATCCTTCCTGTGTGTCTTGCCCCCAGGATGCTTTCTTACATAAGGACACCTGCCTAGGCTAGACAACAGTATCACCCAGACTGATTTTGGCTTACTTGCTTGCAGTTTGATGGGGAAATGATGCTTTGATATGGAGAAATTATTTTCCTATATCTAGAGAACTGTATCCAAGAGAAGGAATAAATTAATCTACCTCTTGGTAAAGAAACAGTGTTTCTTAATGTCTTCTTAATAATCTGGTGAAGAGTCTGAAGCATAGAATATATTATTAGGAGATTCTAAATTGTAAAGCATGAAGAAAGCGTTTTGGGCAGAAATGATAGTAAGCATGACTTAGAACACTGGTAATTCATATCATTTAGTACATTAAGTCATTGGCATTCAAAAATCTCATTAGCATATGAAAATCATTTATAAATGTATCCCCAATGTATAAACAAATAAAGAGGGTCTGTTCAGATTCTAAGATGAAGTGGAGCTGGGCCCACCACCTGTAACTTTCTGCAAATGAGGACCCCCTTCAAAAGAAACTTTAAAAACTATTATCCTAAACAATGAAGGTGGTATAGTGTAAATTGGCTGAAAAGAAGGAAGCTAAATCACTGGTCAGACTACCCATAATAGGTCAATGGGTATGGAAAAGTAGCTAAACACAGATCTGTGTACCTGAAAAAGGCTAATGACAGCACTGTGTAGGGGACTATTCTTGAAAGACTATTTTCAGGCCCAGCATTTATGTAGCTGTGTCTACCAGAAACAAATTGCAACCATGCAGATTTTTCCATATTGGCCTGATAATAGAACACTATGGATATACAATGTTGAAGCATGAGGGTGATTTGATGTATTGCCAGGCAAGCCTGGATTTGGTGCTAAATAAGACTGGATAGATCTGAGATTGGGTGTGGCTAGATTTGGTGTTGGGTTTGGCTGGATTTGTGCCCTCCACTGGAAGGCAGGGGATCTTTTGGCTTAACTTTCTGAAGTCCCTCCCCATTGATTCCATGTAGGTGCTGGACGGCAGGTGCCACAAAAGCCGCCCAGAGGCACGGCTCGGGGCCCACCCCAGTTAGTGCTACCCCCGCCCCCACCTTACCCTCCTCCTGACACAGACGTGGTGGAGCCTCTCTGCTTTCCAGGGGAAGGTGCTGCTTCCCAGGCCTCAGAGCTGAGACCCAAACGTATGTGCCTCATGTTTCCATTCCAGCTATGTGTTGACCATTCATCTCTCTGGTCACTACTGATGTGGGGCTGGGTTTCCAGGCTGTCCCTTCTTGTCTTTGGATGTCTCTGTCTTTCCTTCCCAGCTTTATTTTCCAAATGCTTAATGCAGTGTGTCCAACTTGACAGAGAATGCATTCTGAGTGCCACACAGATACCAATAAGCACGATGTATCCAGCTAGTCGCTCCTGTCTGTGGTTCAACTTCAGCTGAAGGGGTGCCTGGTGGGTGGAGACAGGCAGCCAGGCGCTCATGTTCCTCAGATTAGAAGTAACCTCCCAATGTCTGCAGAGAACCACGGCTCCTCTAGCACAGCAGCTTCACAATTCTGTCATGAGGCTCACTTAGCAGTGAATGTATGTGAGGGTTCAGCTGGAGGCCTTAATAAGTTAGCCTTGAGACTCATGGCCAGTGGCCATGCATTGACACTGCCTCTTTGCAGACAAGAAAACTGAGGAGCCAGAGTGGAACAAGTTTGAGTCTAAGAGCAGCCAGAATTATGTTGTATTTTGCTTCTGTTTCTCAGCATACCCCAACTGACATGGGGCTTTCCTGGTAGGTCCTGGGGATTTCATAGGAACTTTAATAAGCATTGTGAGTAGAATTCCCGCACCTAGAAGGGCAAGAGTTTTTTCAGCTATTACACTGTCAGGTGACATCACCTGCATGACAGGCCCGTGTGTGTCTCAACTATGTAGCAGTGTTTCCTTGTAAAGCAGGCACCATCCTGGATTGCATATTCTCAACAGTACAGTGGCACTGCAGTAGGCCAGTTCTGCCGATGCCTGCAGAATTGGTGCTACCCTCTGTTTAGTAAGTTTATGTTTTGCCACCATTGGGCCATCTTACGTTTTCTGTCTTCTTTGCAAATAACAGCTAGCTGTCTGCCAGCTTCTGGGTAAAGAAGGTAATTGTTGGATTACTTATCCACTTTCTCTAGACAAAAGAATCCTGATTCAGTTTATCTTCCTCTACAAATAATTCTTTTACAACCTTCAAATACTTTTGATCATTTTGACATTGGGCTTGCTTCTAAATGCAAATGAATTGTTACAGGGTATTCAACAACTAAGAATTAATTGTAATCATGTGTAGCACTTAGAAAGCTACCAGCTGCAGTATAGATGGCCAGTGGCCCCGAGCCCCTCACACCAAGACCATGTACTTTGGGTGGCCACTCCTATGATTGCTGTTCACGCACAGCATCTCCTCCCTGGGAGATGAGTGAGGGAGAAATAGTGACAGCTGAGTGAACACAATAAAACTTAGTGCAGCCTTTTGGCAGTCAAGAGGCTGACGCAGTACCTGTAGCTTGGTGGTCTAAATGGGTTGGAGAGCCAGGTGTAAGGCCCTAAACACTCTCCCATACCTGTCTTCATGCAAACCTGTAGAGGCTAGCTTCCTCTTTGGCCTCCCTGTGTCTGGGTCACTTACAGCAGCATTGGGGAGTCAGACAGACAGGATTTGGGAGTAGCTCACAAAGGCTTGACTGGTGAAGCTTCCTCCTGCATGTGTGCTGCTGTGAAGACATTTCCCATCCTGCACTCAGACTTTCTAAGAGGTCTGAGTAGAGCGTGCACAAAGCTAGAGATCAAAGATTAGACTTGCTATCTTCTTGCCTTATGGCTCCCTTTCCCCTGTTGTGCCCACTGCCAACTTTCTGTGAGTTCATTTCTCCAGGTACATGTCACCTTAGACTTTCATCGTCCTCCACATCATAATTCACCTTTCCCATCCTTGTCCTTCTCACATATAGAGAGATGCCCATAATAGAGTGAAGAAGAACACTCCAGAGAGGAGAAGGCCCCAGAATGCATTAGATGGCAGTTAGCCATGTTACTTTGTTACTCCCCCAGAGCCCAGCCCAGAAGCTTGGAGGTGGTGGAGGATCAACACATTTCCCCTCCTTCTGCTCCCTGTCCCACTCCCTGGGATGCCCCCTCCTGGGGCAAGCCTCTTCCAGCCTTCCTGAGAGCTCAACCAAGGACAAACCCTTTATTCCCATTTTAGTGTTAAAACCATTATCAATCAGTATTTGATTCATGGCTATGAAAACCTACTTACCAGAAACAAAGGCAAACCAAAGACTGTGTCCATGTGTTCAGTGCCACATATGCCTGGGACTTTCAAACATACATAAGGATTGTAGTCAGTAGCTCCAGAAGATAGAGGGTAGCTGTGCACTAGTGTGGTTGACTTTAAGATGCCACCTGTCTACAACTTATTCTCTAGTCCATCCTAGGTGGCACCAGCCTGGATACAGACTTATGTGAACTCTGCATGCTCCAGCCACAGTCAAGCAGGCTGAGTTCTTGTGTGCAGCCTGGTGCCATTACAGGAACTGATCTTTGCCAAGCCTGCCACCTTCCAGTCTGAATTTCTCACACCATCCTCTGGACATTCATCCTTTACCTTTACTTATCCTATTGTGTTTCATCCAATTGTGATATGTTTCCTCCACTAGTTAAAGGTACTTGGAAGCTTTAACGGTCTTACTCATCTTTGTATCCATCCTGTATATTGGTGCCTGACATGGTAATATTCACTATTCCATCCAATTTCATAGAACTGTGGGCATCTAGTCAGCACTTTAGGTCTACCTAAGAATGCCCTCAGAAGCCTCAATATTATGATAAAGACCAGTTACCATTACACCTGAGAAAGATGTGAAAATCTCAGTGAAATAGTGTATTCCAATCGTGGCTTCTTTCTTCTTTAGTTGGTTCTGGTTCTTGTGGGAGCTGACACCTCTAGAGTGGCTCCCAGTGATGCCACCTCATATGTTTGTCCCCTTGTGCTGCCCTGTCCCCATGACTCATGTCTAATGAATAAAATATGACACAGTAGTAAGATGCCACTTGTCACTTCAAAGATGAGTGGCTTTCATTTTGAGCACGCCCTCTAACTCACTCACTCTGAGGAAAGACCCCTGCCATGTTGTGAGCTTCTCTCTGGAGACCCACCTGGTCTGGAACTGAGGGAGCTTCCAGCTAAGGGCCAGCAAGGAACCAAGGTGAGATCAGAATCCTGCCAGCAACCATTTGAGTCAGGGTGGAGATCCTTTTCCAGCAGAGGCTATGGAGGAAGCCATGGCTGCAGTTGATACCTGGATTGCAGTCTTGAATCACAGTCACCCAGCTAAGCCATGCCCAAATTTCAGATCCACAGAAACTGTGAAATAATAAATGCATATTACTTTATGCCACTAGGTGTGGGGGCAATTTGTTCTGAAGCAGCAGATAACTAACACAAATGACAAGTAAAAGAAGCCCTTCTCAAGCCTGTGTCAACAGTGAGCAAGTGTCTTCTCTCATGGACACTGAGATGATGATGAGAAGACATGAAGTAGGTCTGCATAAAGAGTTTAAGTGTTAGTTAATTCTGAAGCCCAAACTGGTCATCAAGGATCTAGGTTTTCGCCTCTGTGTCATCTTTTGGGTTGGCTTCCTCCTTAGGCTGGTAGGGGTCTGTGGCTACTCTGTGTCTCACATGGAGACAGCAGAATTTTTAGAGGCAGATTCTCTTATCTAATCATTCCATAGGAGGAAGGGAACCTTTCCTAGGCACCCCACTTAAGAGTTTCTCCCATGTCTTAGTGACCAAATTAAGTATTACACTGACCCAATCCCTAGCAAGAATGGAATCACCTTAGGTAAGCAAGGCCCACCTGACAGCTAGGGGTGGGGCCAGCTTTCCCTGAGGTGTATGGTTCCCTGGTCAGCACCAGGCTCAGTTAATCAGGTATATGATATGTACACAAAGAGTAGAGTCCACCACACTGGGTGGAGGCCCTCAGTTTGGTTGTAGTCTGGAGAATGTGAGATGTGCAGAGAGAAGGTGGTAGGCCAATAGTAAAGAACGAGTGGGTGATTGGGATTAAAGACAGTGCAGCCAAGCATCTGATAGTAAAAAAATACTGGGAAACTGGCCTTCTTGAGGGACAATTTCAGTGCAGGACTGGCCACCTCAGTCTAGGCCTCTACCAACATCTTTCATGTTCTTCTTTTACAGACCAGAGGAACTACTGAAAATGTTCCTAGTATTAACTGCAGAAACCATCCTTACCTGCATTTTCACTTCCCATAGTGTCACTTAACCAAAAGTCAACTGCAGTCTAAAAAATGTTAAGTGGAAAAATCCAGAAATAATTCAGGTTTTAAATTTGCACTTTTCTGAGTAGCATGAGAAAATCTCACATTACGTAGCTCCATCTTGCCCAGAACCTGAACCATCCCTTGGTCCATGTGTTCCTACTGTATTGACTACTCACCCATAACTCACTTTAGCTATCTCTGTTATCAGATTGCTTGTGTTTAAGTGACACTTATTTAATACTGGTCCCCAAATGGAAGAATAATCATGCTGCCAATTCAACTTTCTTTAAGTGAAAAGATTCTCCACTTATTAAGGAAAAAAAATCATATGCTGAGGTTCCTGAGATCTATGGTGAGAATGAAACATAATACTATCATGTTTTCCAGCACCCACTGGAGGCTTTGGAACATATTCCCTGTAGATAAGGGGGGACTGCTGTATGCCCATTTAGTATCCAGAAACTAAAGGGTCTGGTTTCTTAGTTGTAAGAAAACAAAATAGTATTGGTGAAGTTGTGTGTTCAACTTACAAATCTTAAGAATATTGGATCTCACTTAAAGTTACTTCCTAATGTAGAAAACATAATTTTACATCTTCCAAAGTGAGTTTACAGTAGACAAAATGTAGTGTTTTAAAATCCAGTCTAGGGCACATGAGAAGTAGTATATGTCAGAGAACAAGCACTTACCGTCTGCCACTACTGTTACCTTGCGTAACGTTGAGGTTCCTTCTGCATAATGACTTGTAGTTTTCTGTGTTGATAATACTTAACTGCACATGTGGGAGAAGTATGGTTGAGACATGTAACCTCTCAAAGCCTTGTGGTACAATCTTCATCCTCAACGGAACTGTGTGTGCGGCATC